TTATTCCGAAAAAAAATTGATAAGAGCTAGGCTACCAGCAAGGCCGCCCGGGTCCCGGGTGGCCAGCCCGTGCAAGGACAAGGGAGGGTCCCAGCAAAAAAAAAAAAAAAAAATCCAAAAAATCCGAAAAAAAACTATGTTATGCAGAAAAATAAACTGAACAGCTTTTGCCTCAGGGTCACATCGAAATTATTTACCAATTTTAAAATATCAAATAAAATTTTAAAATACTTTTTTATTTATTAAAAAATATATATTTTTGGCCCGGCCCGGCAAGTGACCCCGGGCCACTCTGGTAGCCTAGGATAAGAGGCCGGGGACCTCACAATTCAACCCGGAGTTATCCCGGCAGAGGCTCAGCCGGTTTAGCTGGGTGGGGCATGGTCCCATTAGCAGTCGGATAGGAGTGTGTGGCCGATCCAGTGTGTGACACTGTGTGGCAGCGGGTTGTCAGGTTCATTACGAATTTCTGGGCTGAGAAAACACGAGAAAGGGAAAAAAAAAAAAAAAAGAAGAAGAAACAGAGACCTCCCACCGGAAATCATGGCCGCAGAGTGCTTCCCCACCATCAGATCAGATCACAAATGATCTGATGGTGGTGGTCCCCACAACAGTGAACAAAGTAACTGCCACATTTCTTTTCTGGAATAAAAACTCGACTTCTGTCAGCAGTGATCCTGACACCCTCCATATACTCCGTGATTGAAAGAGGGCTCCACTAAATGAGATAATTGCACAACAGCAAGCAAAATACTGAAAATCTTCTATCCAGTGGGCCTATGGCCAACCCCGCCCTCATTTGGGGTTTGGCCATACCCCCAACGGATTGAAAAGATTTTGGCGGGAAGCTACCTTTGCACGGGCATGCCCAGTGTTAAGGAGAGGACGAGGGGAGCCAAGATCTCCTTACTTTTTCGGGTAATAAAATACAAGTAAAATACTGACCGTGGGATCACTCACGAGTACTGATCACGGGCAGGATTTGGGTCACTCAACCGCTCCACAAACTCGTTTCTATCCTATCCCGTTGCTAGTGGGACGATGCCCCTAAAGTTTAACCAATTTTCTGTTATTCCTCAAAAAACAGTGAAGCAATCGGACTCACCACAACGATTTGCTTTTCCCTTTAACTTTCGCCCTCTTTTCTTTTTCCTTTTTTTCCCCTTCTTCTTTTTCGTAAACAGAAATTTAAATTAAAAAAAAATAAAAAAAAAATCTCTTTCCGGAGTTATCCCGGCAGAGGCTCAGCCGGTTTAGCTGAAGTTTAACCAATTTTCTGTTATTCCTCTAAAGCAATCGAACTCACCACAACGCTTTGCTTTTCCCTTTAACTTTCGCCCTCTTTTTTTTTCCTTTTTTTCCCCTTCTTCTTTTTCGTAAACAGAAAAAAAANTTTTTCGTAAACAGAAAAAAAAAAAAAAAAAAAAAAAAAACACACTCTTTACCTCGGGAATAAACACCGCAGCATTCTCCTTAAACGTGAAAGCTCCTCGGAGAAATTCCAAATCCAACGGCCGCAGATCGGTCACGTGCAGAGAATCTGTGAAGGCCGCCGGTTCATCAATCAGCTGACCAAGCTCCATCCCGACGCCACGTCGGATTTCAGTCTCCCCCACCACTCGAGAGAGATAACCTGAGTCAGCAACGGTTACCTTATGAAATTCTTTTTTGGAAAAAGAATTGTAAGTGTCACGAAGTTGAAAATGAGAGAGAAGATCGGTCGAAGCGGTCACTTCCCGCGGCCCTGCATCCATTGCATACACAAAAAAAGGATTAAAAACAAACAAAGCTCAAAAAAAAAGAAAAAAAAAAACGGCGAAAATGGGGAAAAAAAAAACGCAAAAAAAAAAAGAAAAGGAAAAACGACGAAATAAAAAAAGAAAAGAATTATAAGTGTCATGAAGTTGAAAATGAGAGAGAAGATCGGTCGAAGCTGTCATTTCCCGCGGCCCTGCATCCATTGCATACACACAAAAAAAGGATTAAAAAAAACAAAGCGCAAAAAAAAAGACGAAGGAAAAACGGCGAAAATGGAAAAAAAAAGGAATTATAAGTGTCACGAAGTTGAAAACAAGAGAGAAGATCGGTCGAAGCGGTCACTTTTTTTTTTTTTACTTTTTTTTTCTTTTTTTTTTAACATTGTATTTTTAAAATTACCGTCGAAGCCTTCACTTCCCGCGGCCCTGCATCGATTGCATACACACAAAAACAGGATTAAAAAAAAAAGCGCAAAAAAAAAGAAAAGGAAAAACGGCGAAAATGGAAAAAAAAAAAAAAAAGAATTTTAAGTGTCATGGAGTTGAAAATGAGAGAGAAGATCGGTCGAAGCGGTCACTTCCCGCGGCCCTGCATCGATTGCATACACACAAAAAAAGGATTAAAAAAAAAAAGGCGCCAAAAAAAAAAAAAAGCGGCGAAAATCGAAAATAAAAAGAATTACAAGTGTCATGAAGTTGAAAAATGAGAGAAATTAAATTGACCAGAACAGATACTACACTTGATCTTCTTAGCCAAAAGGCCGACAATATATTATCCGTGGTAGATCGGGCCATTTAGGGAAAAAAAAAAAAAAAAAAAAAAAAAAGAGAGGATTTTAAGTGTCATGGAGTTGAAAATGAGAGAGA